CTAGCATGTGCTTGCAGCTCCATATGCTCTCAGCGTAGTCTGACATTTTTTGTGTACCTCTAAGTGCACTTTTTGTGTGCAGCTAAGTGTGATGAAACGGTTCTCATCTTGTGATTCGTAACATGAATGTGGGTCTTTCTAATCGTCTGTGTGCCTGAATTACTGGGTGTGAGGCAGTGTCCTGTGTATTTTGTTGTGGCAGCTCTTTATGTGGGGCAACTCCTGCTGCTTTTAGTTCAACCTGTTTGTATAGAACTATTGCTTGGACCTTTAAAAGGACAAAAAAGTGTTCTTGCAAACCATTCACAAATTACCAGCTGATGATCATGAGATCAAACTAACCCAAGATAAAAATAAAATGTAGTTAAATCTGTCATTCATGTCTTGAAACAAAGCTGTAATTCAGTTTTTGACCATTCTTCTGGGAGTAATGTAACATTTTAGTCATGACAAAATGAGGGCAGTTCAGCTGAGAAGCGCATGGCTGGAAGCTTCTTCCTTCATTATTATTCCCTGTTGATGGTTTGGAAAAAAAAAACAACCCAGAACTAAGGGGAACAATTCCAGGTGCGTGTCTTTCTACAGTGTGCGTGTATATATATATGTATATCTTACATGTCCAATGGACGGGAGGGCATAAAAGGACTATCTGTAATTGCAAGTGCTATATCAGCCACTGAATTCTCTTACTGTTTCCTAGCTGTTAGAAGCAGTTAATAGCTCAAGTCTGGACTACAGGACTTGTCAGACTATAGCAGAGATGACAATTTAATCTCTTAATCCTTCTTGCTCTTTAGACTTTCTCAGAAGAAACCTGAGAAGAAATCCATCCCCATAGTGGTGGCTTTCTCCTGTTATGGTGGACTAAATGCTTCTGCTATAGCTGCCTCCAGGTAGGCTCCTCTGTCATCCTCCGCATACCCTTGCAAATGCTCCATTCTTTCCCCTGTTGCCAGCTCATTTGTTTTTATAAATGCACTTCACTACTCCCAGAAGTAGTGGTAGTTGAAGTGGAATTGGTCAAGTGCTCAGATCAGAGCCCAGGTCTAGCTTATTTGTGGAGGATCCATGATTGTACAATTGCGGTTTTAGCAGAAAGCAGCCACTAACTCTTCTCCCTCCCCTTTTTTTTTTCTCTTGGTACAGTGCACGTGGTGTATGTGCTTGATAACTTGATTGCTTTTTGCACTTTTGTCTGCCCTTCTTTCTTATGCAAAATAACCCTCTGACGTGCACACAGTTGAATGCTTATTGTGGCCATTTTACTTACACTTCAGTAACACTTGCTGCAAGAAACATTGTAGAGATCTTTGGTTTTGTCATTGATGACAAGAGAGTATAGCTCAGCTTTGGAGAAGACATTTCTTGGTATCTGTTAAAATGGGAGTGTTGAAGGATTTATAAATGTGTACTCTGAAGTATAAAAGTGTGTTTATTGTCCTTGGAGTAATACATGAACTTGGCTAATTTTTATGTTAGAAATGCGGGTGAAACCGTGTCAGAAAACACCTGCATAAGGGCAGGTGGGTCTATACTTGTCATGTTAAGCTAGTTAATATCACTAGAAAGTTAAGCCAACCTTCAGGTACCTTTCAACTTTTTTTTGCTGAAAGATCATTTTGCACACAAATCTACTTGGCAAGCCAAGCTGAACTTTCCAGATCATTCTCATTTAAAATACTGTTTTCCCTTACCTCACTTACGGAAAAGTTAAGCTCTTGAAGTTAATGCTCCACCCTTTGCTCTCTCAGGAATCCCAACTACAACATTAGAAAGTACATTGGAAATGACAGTGTTTAGTAAAGGCTATCACTAGGTTATTCTCTCTTTTGAAGAGGCTGACTCATACAGATCTAGGGAAATTAATTATTTGACTTTGAGCTGGATCAACAGTTGTTATACATCATATAGCTTGCATCCAGAATACGTTGAATCTATAACGTCTTGATCTGTGTATAATTTGTGGCAGTGATACCATAGTTTTGCCTTAACTCTTTGTGGTTTTTACTGCTCATATGAGTGATTGCTGTTTTCCAGGATGTGTGAAACAACATTAGCACATCTTAGAAAGATTGGGTATACATTATAGGATGGAAATGGCCTTTGAGTTAGTCCCACATCTGGCATTCCACACTGGCCCATTACTAGGTGTTTCAAAAGGAAATGGGAAATGCTTGCAAAGAACAAATGCCAACCTGCCTTTTAAGGGAAAAAGTTTCTCCAAATGACGTTAGCTACTTTGCATCCTGCAGCATAAGATTACATTCATACATTTTCTCTCTCTTCTTTAACTTTAGCTGTTAATATTACTTACCTAAACGCTTATCCTTTAGGCAACCTTACTAAACGTCTTAATTCTCTAACATCTTGTTGAGTGAGTTCTGTATCTTAGCTTTGTATATTGAAAAAAAAATCCTCTAGCAGTTTTAAGTTTGGTGTCTAATAATTTCATTAGCTGTTTGGCTTCGGAAATCAGCAGTCCAGGTTTAAATCATCCTTTAAAATATTACAACAATTGCCTATTAGAATTTTCATCTTGTCCTCATTCTTACTTGTTCTGGAGAAGTTGTCTTAATTCATTCACTGGATCATTATGAATTACGTTCTGCTTTGGGAGACCAGGTTTCTCAGAGCTGCATTTAGATCCAATAAGGATCTGAGAGAAGCACTGTGGGTTCTAGTAGTTATTTATTCTTGAGCAGCAGAAATCTTTTATATACAATAATGTAAATTAATTGTTGCTTGTTCAGTTTCAATTGACTGAAAATGGGTAATCCATGGTATACAGAACACATTTCTTATGGCATGGTCTTTTGCTAAATCGATGTTCTGATTTCAGCATGAAATAGAATTCATACGTGGATTAGTTCTTTTATACTTTTCTCATGTTAATTTTTATAATTTCTGTGGGAATCTGTGTGTGTGCATTTTTCCATCCCTGTGTTGAAGCTCCATTTTGAGGGAAGCTATACTAATATGTATAAACTAAAAGAGGTCAGGAAGAGATGTGCTTTAGTAAGAATCAGAGTGACTAACACAGCTGATGCATTGACTTTGAACCTTTTGGCAAGGTTCCCATTGAAGTGATTATATGCTTTTGCATTGTCCCTTAGCGGCAGGAAATCCTATCTGCCTTTGTTGAGGCTCAATTAAATTACACAAAAGGATAGAATAAATTTTGCTTTTTAGTGTAGATGATGGTGTACAGCTAAGCAGAGTTGGATTCTGACCTTAACCT